CAATCTATTCGTGGGGAGCGTTACGTGCTGAGAATCGGGCTCAGCATCCCATTGAAGTACAACTGAGATTATGTGACACATTCGAAGTTCCGGGGGCATGACCCGGCTTCGGCTACGAGAACAATAAGTCGATTACCAAACCTGCAAAAAACTATGAGAAAAACCTCAAGAACAACTACATTTCTCATAAAAAACCGCATACCACAATCCAAACCTCCTACTATTTACACCTCCCCTTCAACAATCGAAAAAAAAACGTAACTCCGAGCATTCAGTCCTCGTACCAGAACTCAGCTGATCTCATATCCCCTTCTGCTAGGGTTACAGAGCAACACAAACTTCCCCAGTACTGACCAGCCTGGTTAAGATGACAAAGAGTGTCTTCCTCCCTCGACGATTAGCCACACGCCCCTACAGGGAAAGCTCCCGGCATCAGCTACGTTGGACGAGCTGGTTATGCCTTCCTCCCTCGACATTACTCCCCAGACCTCTTGCTCCCCGGCTGGGGTATTGACCCTGTAACCTGCTTAGGGGCTTGCCGCTACGGGAATTGTCGAGGGAGGAAGGCATTTCCTGTCGTCAGAGCTAGGTTGATCGGTACTGGGGAGGGTTGTGGTGCCCTGTTACCCTAGCAGGAGGGGGTATGAGATCAAGTGAGTTCTAGTACGAGGGCTAAAAGCTTGGACCGACGCTCTATCTATTGGAAGGGGGGATCTAGGATAGTGGTCAGTTTTAGTTTTGCCCCCCCCGTTCTTAAATTTTAAAAACATTTTTTGAAGGTCCTAAAGAGATTTGGGTGCTTAGTGGTCCTAGGATGGTTTTAGGACTAAGGGATCCCCACCAACTCGTCTTACGTGGCGTCATCACTGTTGTACTCGAGACTTGGGGTTGTTCGATGCCAGAACGACGCTGACCGGAGCTGGGGTGTTGCCCTGTAACCTGCGATGCAGGAGCGTGAGATCTGGTAGAGAGATCTGGGGAGGGCTTGGGGGGGCTTCCCACGGGACAACTAAGGGTTGCTGCCGGGATGACGCTGGTCGGAGCTGGGGTGAGTTGCGTTGCCCTGTAACCCAGCAGAAAGTGGGGGTGTGAGACCTGGAAGAGAGTGGCAGAAGTGTATGACACTTTTGGAGAACGTTGGAAGGGTGCAGCGTTGTCGAGCGGGGATCCCCGGGGGCAAAGCCGGTGTGAGGCTGCGGCCCCCGGACCCCCGCCGCGGGGGCCATCCAACCCCGCCACCGCCGGACGACCCCCGCTGCGGGGGCCATCCAACCCTGCCACCGCCGGACGACCCCCGCCGCCTAACCCCGCAGGCCCGCCACCGGCCCCGCAACCCCGCCCCCGCATCGCCCCCGCACCACACTCCC